CACACAGCGTCTTCACGACATGGCGGCGGCGGCAACAATACTACAGCGAGAATAAAAGTTACGCCTTCTTTCTTTGTGTGAACATTTGGGCGGCGTTATGCAAATCTTCCCGCATAGTGAGGTAGATATGTGGGGGCGTGTTCGAACGAGCCGTTTTAGGTAGGCGTGGCTGACTCTTAACTTTTATAAAGAATATCTCTTTGGATTTGAGACTTTAGTCTTTGCAAATTTACAGATCTTCTTTATGCACCAAGAGCTTGTAACACTCCAAAGAGAAAGGAAAAAATGAAATCGCATCATATGACCCCTTTAAATGACACATTCCTCTGTTGTTCTCCTGTATGCGGAGTAGCGCCATCACAACAGCGGCCCCCGCAGGTTGCAGGAGGTACTGCAGGCGAAAGGGGAGAAAAACAACTTTGATTGGCAGTACATCAGCATCACTTCACACAACCGGGAGAAAGAGAAAACATTCACACAACAAGACCAAAAAGTCAAGCATGAAGAAATGTTAATAAATGCATCTTCCCTTAAAGGTCGTCCAGATTGTCGTGTCACGGCTTACTGTAACGACAAAGGGCTTTGTGTTCTGCGAAATATTACACTACGACAGCGCTACAGACAAATGACAGATTTTCATTTTTATAAAAGCTTATACGCAAGCAGATTATGCTGAAAGATTGATAATAAATACAAAATGAACAAAAAAAAACAAGTTGAATGTTCGAGAAATGAATGTTCATATGTCGATACGACCCGAAAACACTAAATCAGTTGTCTTCGTGTATAAAACAGGAGATTCATCTTACAAACAACTCAACAAAAGGCTCAGAAGTGACGGAGAGTGTCAAACCTACAAAACTTCAACATGCCAGCATCAGTAGAAAAGCGTATGGTCATGTAGGTTGAGATCATTGTTAAACCCACAACCATGGCTTAATCTGCACCAAAGGCTTTCAAGACTGTTCCAGGCTGCAGTCTTAATTCCTCGTGAAGCTTTGCTTTTAATACTTGGGATATTCAACATCAGGTTTTTCAGATGCACACCTTTATGACTGGTCAACATAATAGTTGCAATATGAAACAATGGCTATCTGAATCCAATTGAAGTATGAACTAAGCATATGCACGACAAACAGGCTTATATAGCTTATCTTACTCTTTGTCATAAATGCAATGGATTTGCAAATCTTTTCATTCCATAAAATACAAAACAAAATGACAAAATATGTCACAGGATCACTATTGCAGCTCAAACGTTAAGTCCAAGTAAAATGAACAGTAAGCCTGCAGTTTTATAAGGTGTAAACACTTTTGTCTTGTCAAAAATGAACTTAATTTCAGGAACAATAAATAATTAACACAATGAATCGGCGTTTGAAACTCAAAACAAATAGTCATTGTTTGAAACGTGGCGATCAGACAGACAAATATGAAACGGATAGATTCTGCAAATATATGCGAATCATGACATTCGTGTTTGAAAATAACGGATATTATTTACGGCGACGAGTCTTTCCTTTCATAGAGGGACTCTTGAATGTGTATTCAAAAATAATGATACACGTATACGTTTGAGAAGCGTTTTAAACATGAATGAATGAACGACATTAAAGAGTCGATGCTTTAGCTAAGTAGATGAACTGTCAACTTTGAAACTTCCCAGCAAGAGTCTAGATACAGCTATGGTTTAACGTTACAGTTATTGTTTTCACTTCAGTCATATATATGTTACCTGATTTTGAACAAACTGGTACTGTGTTCCAAGGCGATAATCCATGTTTTTCGTGCAGATGATCATTTTCCTCCCTGTAAGCGCATGAATGCGGCTCCTCTGGCTTTCTTGGTTCTTCTCACCGACTCGCTAACAAAGGCCAAGCCGCTATGAGATCTACATGTCCGGACATACAGCCGCAGTGTCACTGAGCGAAAAAACTATTGACTGACACTGCCACAGTGATGCCGTCCAATCAGAGAGTTAGTGAGGTGGGTCTAAGAGTGAAGCGAAGGCCAATCAATTTTTAGTACTGGATTTTTTATTTTTTTTGTGACGGCTGCGTTTGTCCGACATCCCGACATCCGAGCCAATGAGCGCCCGTCATGTGGTGGAAAACTACCTGTCTGTTAAACAAATTAAGCCCGCCCACTTTCATGACGCAATTCTACCTGACAACCGGGCTGCGTTCCAATCCGTTTTTTATGCCCTTCACTCGCAAACTTCCCTCCGTCTGGTTTACTCGGATGTACGTCATTGATTACGTTGCATGAGTGCCCACTTCTGGCGGAACCCTTGGAATGGTCTGAACTGGAACGTCCTAAGCCCTTGATCACTTGATTAGAATCAGCTATGGAGTTGGTTTATTGTTTACATTTTTTCCCTTACGAATTTGTTTGGTGCAGCATTCTATATGTATATACAAGGGGAAGTGCTTAGGGAAGTTCGCGAGTGCATGTCTAAAAGTGGAGTGGAACGCAGCCCTGGTTGCGATACCGCACTGTCTGTGAAAAAAAAATTGGCACATTGATGCATTTTTTATTATTCTATTGTAGATAATAAAAATTGGAAGACTGTCAATACCCTTTAAATATTGTATTCATAATAAAACTAAATAAGTAGGCTACGTTTTAAAATTTAGCTTATCCTATTTACCCTGTTAAATTATTAATTTCAAGATACTCTGATATTGATGATTTATGTTCCTTTTGTAAAAGTAGGGAGCTGTTGACTCATTTGTTCTTTTAATGTAAATTTGTCCAAAACTTTTGGATGGAATTGGCAAAATTTGTTTTTAATTTAGTAAAGGTTAACTACGTTTTTATTTTAAAGGATATTATTGTGCATTATGAAAACAAAACTAACAAAGGTCTTGAACACATTGTTAATTTATTTATATTGCAATTATTTTATATAGGCTACATGAGCAAAAAAATTTAAATTCATCCCCATTGTTTATGTTGTTTATTGTTGAATTTTGATTGTTTTATGTCTGCTTTGAAATTGTTTAAAAAAAGTCATTAATAGCCTATGTTTAAAATATTATGATAGTATTTCCGGATCCCGTTACCACTTAGACTATTATTCCATGCCATCCTTTGTTCGGTACTTGTTTCCCTTCAATAGTAGATAAATAAATAATAGCCTACCGCGCTGTCTGTGAGAATAACTTATAGCTTGTTTTGAATGAATTATTTTATATAGGCTACATGAGCAAAAATTTTTAAATTCATCCCCATTGTTTATGTTGTTTATTGTTGAATTTTGATTGTTTTATGTCTGCTTTGAAATTGTTAAAAAAAAGTAATTAATAGCCTATGTTTAAAATATTATGATAGTATTTCCGGATCCCGTTACCACTTAGACTATTATTCCATGCCATGCTTTGTTCGGTACTTGTTTCCCTTCAATAGTAGATAAATAAATAATAGCCTACCGCGCTGTCTGTGAGAATAACTTATAGCTTGTTTTGAATGAATTATTTGGCCGTTATTTCACTTGACCAAATATGTCTAAAAATGTCATAGACATTCAAATGAACAACAAACACCAAAATCTGACTGCTCAAGAGAAAGTGTTTAAACGAACTCATTTGAAGCTCTATATCCTGCGCTGTGGTAATCTAAGCACTATTTAGAAGAACCTTACATTTTTATCTGATTGGGAGAAAAATAATCCACTATCCCCGTGTATGCATACTAGTATTCGAGATGAGTAATCTTGAATAGGCTACTAGGGTTGATATTATGCAAATTGAGATGCAGGGTATAATAGTTTTTTTATAATAGAAATCATTCTTGATCCCCTCCATTCATTTTCCTCCAGTTGAGACTCTCACAGCTATAAAGGCCTTCTATTTTTTACCTTAAGTAAAATATGCTTGAGTAATCATGCATTTGGAAAATTGCACAATAATGCGCAAAGAGACAATTCTGGGAGCTAGGCCCACATTGCTTAAAAAATGAGGCCTAGCACAAACATTTAATGGGTGTAACCCTGTCCCCTGTGCAAACTGAGTAGGCTATATCATACAGGACCTTAGTGGGCTCCTTGTCACAGAACCCAGGACAATGTTCCTGGTTGTTCCCTCCCTGAAAACAGCCGTACCCTCCATTAATATACTGGGACTCAGATTTTGTCATTCAGTGAGTATAAATCTCCACTTCTTTCAAACATTAACAACATATTTTATATTCTTCCTCAGACTATTCATTTTACAGCATGAACAATTTTATTCACTATAATACTGAATATGTGAAATTTTGAATAAAACCAGATTTGGACTTTCATAGGCTATCATCTATCAGCTTTTATGTCATCTATGCACTAGAACTGTTCTAAAAGTTCTCAAGGTACTCTGAAAGGACGGTCGGTCAGGGATCATATACTCATTTATGCCTCTAGCCTTACAGAAAAAAACAATGGTATTTCCATTGTAAAAAGTAACAAGAAGAATAAGTAACAAGTTCTGAAGCATATTATGAATTGTGAGTATCAGTAATAAATAGGATAAAGAGGACGATGGGTCCTTTTAATATATTCAAATTTAATTTAGAGATTATTTACAGCAAACATATAACATAATAATGGAGGCTGTTTAAGAGAAGGTGATTTTTTTACAGAGCATCTCCTTACCAAGCATGACAAAAGTACTTTTTCAACATGTGATGTCTTCCAGTTCTGTTCCCCTCAAGTCAGAATGATCTTAACAAAAGCCTTCAAGCCTTCATTTTCTGGACTCATCCAGTCATCTCTCAAACTACAAATGAATGGGGCTCTTGTTTTGGAAAAGGTCTTAGTATTTGGAATACAGTCAATTCTGTGCTGTTAAACTGAGTGGATTTGCTTTGGATTTAGATGCATGTGATAGGCTGACCCCAGACACTGAAAATGTCATCTCATTCTTTTTTTAAATTAATGTTTGTGAAATGAGCATGAGAAAATCTTGCAATATAATATTTTAGGAGGGTGGAAGGTTGAAACAACAACAACTATTGTATTTGATTCTCAACACTGTTTGATTATCTGAGCAAAATCTAACAAACATGACAGAATGTGATATAAGGTTTCTGCTTTTGTAATTGAGAGTGTTTGCTGGCATGCCCTGTTTAACTCACGATTGTGTCTATATGGTAATTAGGGGCCAATTATTCCTCCAGTTTCAAGGACAAAGACACTCTGATTAGAATGATCATATTCATCATATTATATCCGCCAACATCAACATCTACTGTAACTCTGCATGAAAGCAGTGATGCAGTAAAGAAAATGTTCTGTAAAAATGATAGCATTTTGAAAACAAACTGGATGCATATCTGATACAATATACAATAAAGTACAAATATCAATACAATAATGTCTTTTTAAAGCTAAAACATAATTTATGAAATTTCTTTTAAAAATTTAGGGCCACATCTGAAGAGTTGTGAAGAGCATTAAAAACATTTGTGTAATATCAAATGTTTTACTTCTTTACTGTGCGTGTTAAAGCACATGGCACAGATCACACTTTGTTTTGTAAATCAAAGTATATTTTCCTAATGGAGGGTGCACTGTAAACAAATACAAGTGTCTTTTACTCTATCTGAGGCAGAACAAGCAGTCGATTCAGCTGCCTCACTCTTCTGAAACCCTCCAAAGTGCCAGTTACTGCATCATAAGTACTGAGGGTGACCCAGAGTGCAGTGAATGCTTAAAAAATAAGACCCTCTGTCCCACAAGGAGAAGGGACTTGTGTTCCTGTGTTAACAGTGAATAACAGACAGATAAGATAAAGATATAGCCTACAGAAACTCACAATGGCACAAACTGATGCATAAAGCAGCAATGTATAAAACAGGATTATTTTATAAATGTACATTACAATTAATTAAAGTACATTTGTGCATATTATTAAATATATCGCTTTTTAATGATTACAGTGAGGAGTAAGATTTATATATTGCATTGCAGCAGCTTACTGAGTATTGGGGAAAGTGTGTTGGGGGGTTAATGTGGTTAATTATCATAAAAATAAAATGCAAGAAATCCTAAAAATAGGCTTAATTTTCCTTATGCAAAGTTTAAGTTTTTATTTTGGGTTGAAATATGATCCATGAAGAAGATTTTGAAACTAAAAATATGAAACAATGAAGATAAAGAATATGTTAAAACTATACAACCAATAAACAAAACAAAAAAAAGTTTTCTAATGAAAGAACTAATAATAATAGTAGTAGTAATAATAATAATAATGTATAACAAAACTGACCAATATCATCAACATATGCAAGTCTAAAACTCTATGGTTTAATAAATTAGTATATGCTTTTATTTTCACTACTACTGCAGTTTCTTTAAAGTACAGCCACAAGGGGGCAATTTATACAACTTTATTTTGAATAGTTGCACTTATACATTATTGCTCTTTTTAACATTTATAAAAGTATAATAGTTTCTTTTCTGACATTACAGTATATTTAACTGATGATATTCAATAGAGCTTATCTAAAATACAATAACAATGTGGATACAACTTGGAATCTTCCACACATCATGACACTTCCATTTTATTTCAGCACAGGGAAACTAACATCTTGTTTAAAAAAACCCTACTGTATACATATATACACACAATAACATCTAAGAATGTTGACTGATCTCTAATTATGAGAATGAGAAATTAGAAATTAAATATACAAAAGAAGCCAATAAAAATATAGATATGGTTCAAAAAGGAGAAAGTGAGGCATTATACATTGACCACAGGCAAGCTGACAGCTGCAAACTTTGGTTTCGTAATATAGGCCACTAAGACAGTTTCAGTTCAGTGCTGTCAATCACATTCAATCTCATCACACAGTATGACTATAACTTCCAGAATAACTAACATTTGACATTTCCAAATTTCACAACCAAGGTTTTAAAAGGAAAAACAAAAACAAAAGGACATATGTGTGCTGCTGTACAACATAGGATGTCACGAAAGATTATATTGGCCATAGATGGTAAAACGGTTAACTGGCATTTCACCCACTCGTTCCTGTCTAATGGCTGCATTCCGCCCACATTGTGCTCTGC